CTTTTTTTTTTTTTACAAAAAATCTGATTTTTTAATGATAATATTTATGTACCAAGATTCATAAAATAAACATATTAAAAAATATAACAATTTAGCTTAAAATGCTATGATGAAGAAAACATGTCCCAAAGGGTCATTTGAGTAATTTAACACCCTTCAAAACATTCAAAATCTATTAGGATATGGACCCCTTTCCTTGACCTCTTACACGCAAGGGATATATTCACTTGTGCGCTTCACATGCTCCTCCTTTTGGTAGTTTCTTTCCCAATTGCTCCCTCCCCACTAATAAAAGTTCTCGTTCACTGTTTATGGTCAAATTTTATTTATTTTATTGACCTATTTTCATGTTCTATTTCATAAAATAATGTAGTATGTCACCTCTAATTTTTTAGACTTTTTATGTAGTTTTTAAATATGTAATTTTTTATTTTTTAGTTCCATACCATTTTTTACATAAAATGATTTGAAAATAATTTAAGTCAAACATCGTAACGCGCAACGAGAACTTTATTTATGGAAGGAGGGAGTATTTGTATAGTTTCCATTTTGGGTTATCAAAGAACAATACAGACATTTATTATCTCTACAATACAGACAATAATTATTTATATTTGTCTTAAATGTGTAAAGTAGTCTGTGAAGTAAAATTTATGAGCAATGCTAGGTTCACGAACAAAACTGTCACAAACTTCAAAAATTTACAACTTCAGATGTAAAATTTCATTTTAAAATTATTTTAGGTTACTTCATTTTTTATTGAAGTTCACAAATACTAAGTTTGTAAAATTTGTGACGGTATTTTTTGTGAACCAAGCATGAAGACATTATTTCTTCTTCAAATACTGAGGTAACTTAAATAGTAATGTGTTTAAAAAGAAAAAGATGAAGAAAGTCTTAAGAAAAGTGATTTATTGATAATTCCAAACTAGAGTTAGGGAATATTTTAAATATATACGGAGTACTATATACTTCCGGGGTATATGAGGGTAGGTGTTCATAAAAAATCAATTAAAAAAATATACACCTTTTGCTCGATCAAATAATTTTAAAAAGTATATCGATGAGCTAAACAACCTTTGAAACATAATCTTTATTTAAAAATAAAAACTAAAAAAAGCAAAAAAAAAAAAGAAAAGGAAAATTCTCTGAATTTCCTTTCTCGATCAGTTATTCATTAGATTTTTACGAAACATCAAATTAAAAACATAAAAAAGCCTTTTCATTTTATCTCAAAAGATTTATTGTAGGGAGTACATTTTTAAAAAAATAATAACTCTATTATAATTGGAGGGAGTATTATGTATTACTCCCTCCGTCCCCCCGTTTTTGTCCATTTTCATTTTTGCACACCATCCAATTCACTTCTTTAATCCATTTTATCTTGTAATTTGTATATTAAAAAATTATAGAAATTATATATTAATAATCTATATATTAAGACAAATCAAACAAGATCACATATGACTAAATTTAGGCTTACACATTGAGAGAATTTGATGAGTCAAAGTGCTTAGATGAACAGTTCTAAAAGTCAAAAGTAGACAAAAACTATGGGACGGAGGGAGTAATATATTTTCAACTGGGCCACAATATAGTGTTAAAATAATTCTTTTTGAGGAAAATTGTTGTTGTTGTTGTTTAAAATAATTTTCACTTTTAAGGGTATTCTTGTCATATTGCACCCTTTTTCAATTATTCTTGGTTTTTATGCCCACCTCAATATGAACAAAAATTGGGGGACGGAGGGAGCATGTTAAGATGGGATCTGTGGCGGATCCAGAAAAGAATATGACCTGGGGCAAAATGAGAGTAAAGAGTAGAGTGATTTTTAAATTAGAAAAATAAATAAATATTTCAATTTTATTTTTAAATTTGATGAAAAATAAATAAACTTAATTAATTTCAAACAAGTACTCTAATAAGTAAAAATATTTTTAAATTAGAAAAAAATAACATAAAATATATCATAACCTAATATAATTATGATATTTCAAACATTTTACATACTCCTTCCGTCCCTGAGTGTTTATCCACTTTCATTTTTGCACACCATCCAATGCACTTCTTTAATCCATTTTATCTTGTAATTTGTATATTAAAAAATTATAAAAATTATATACGGAGTATTAATAATCTATATGTTAAGACGAATCAAACAAGATCACACATGACTATTTTTAGGCTTACACATTGAGAGAATTTGATGAGTCAAAGTGCTTAGATGAACAGTTCCAAAAGTCAAAAGTGGACAAACACTCAGGGACGGACCAAGTATATATCTTATTTAAGTGATTATTTTTACTTGTAAATTAGGTCTTTTTTGCATGGGGGGAAAACAATTTTTTTACCAGGGGCGCTCTTTTTATTTTCCTCAAAAAAATAATTTTAACACTATATCAGCCCCCATATAACATAATGTAGATCCGCCCATGAAGGAGATATAAAAATTAAATATCGTGATTCGTGAGTCACTTAGTATTACATTCTTTAATTTAAAAAATGTAAAAGCTATTTAAAATAGATAAATAAAATATCTATTAACTCTATTACCATTGTAATACTCCGTATTAACTTTATACTTTCTGAATCTCATAACGTAAAAGTCAAATTAAATTATTCTTTATTTTTCCCGCCCTTTCTATATCACAAAATTTAAACTTCACAGTCCCAATTCTAGTAAAGATAGCTACCGAAATGAAATTTAGATAAAAAGATTTAAAGAAAAAAGAATTTTTTTAATTTTTTTTTTAAAAAAAAGACTTAAAAAAATATTCACAAAACACGAGGCCGACCGCCTTGAAGGGAGGAAAAATCAGAGGGAATAACGTGTGAAACACTCATCGAATACTTTGCTTTTTTCTTAATCATTTACTAATCCGGTAATTAGCCCATAATTACAAATTATTAATGAGATGTTTTACGGATTGCCTTCAAAAAGGGGTTAATTTGCTTGATTAGTGCAGCAATTACTTTTAGTTTGACTGGAAAATTTGTGTTTATTTAAGATTCAGATTACCGATAACTTGGATAGTTCAAATGCGGGTGCGAGTTTAAGTTGTCTTAAATTAATCTTTCACTTTTTTTGGAAAGCTTTTTGTGCTCACGTTTTTTCTCTTGTCTATATCACTTTCAACTATACAATTTCTTTATTTTTAAACTTTGTCCGAATTCAATCTGTGAGTATTAATTTGGGACGGAGAGATTATTACTTAGTCTATTCAGTGTGGAGTATAGAAATGATTTTTGAGAGATTTATTTTCCATACAACTATTTTATTACTAGTATAGTACGGAGTAGTACAACAACAACATCCCAGTTGAATCCCACTACAGTAAGGTCTGGGATAGTACGGAGTAGTATTTAATGCATTTTGTATTTTATTGATATATTCAATATTTGTCTAATTTGCTTAAAAAAGTTAAAATAACAAATATTTATTTAAGGTTGAGAATTTTTTTAGAGCAGATGAGAACACATTTAATAAAATATAAATAAAATTTAATCTTTTGTCACCAAGTAAAATTCCTACTTTTTAAATTCAACTACAAACAATTTTTTCCACTCCTTTTCTTTCTATAAAAGAAACGAATGCGTGACATAAACACACGCCATTGCATGATTACAAAATCATACTCCCTCCATCCTTAAACCCTTCTCTATTTTTCTTCATACGTATCTAAAAAAATTTCCCCGTTCCATTAAAAGTCACTTTTACCCCCTACAAATTCTTAATCTATCTATCACATGATATCTATCCACCATTAATATTTCTATCAAATTCTATTTTTACTCATTACATCATATCCAAGGGCTTATTTAGAAACTCAATTCCAAAATACACTATTTCGATCTTAAATCTTTTAAAAATAAAAAACTCTCATGTTTTCAGGGACGGAGGGAGTAGATCGTATTTGAACATCGAAATCGCACTCAAATCGTCAGTTCGAGAATTAGACGTCCTTTAATTTTTTTTAAATAAAAGAAAAAAAGTATTACCTAGATCATAATTCATAAATAGTGGTCCGTATTTAATAAAACGGACAATTTGGAAAAATTATCAATGAAAATATGTCCCAAAAAATGCTACAACTTAATCTTATGAATAATAAGGTAAAATTATCTATAATAAAGACTAAAACATGTTAGAGTGTGTGTACACACACACAACTACAAAAACGATCAAATAAATCGTCCTATTTGCATCGGTCAACGGAATAAAGGATTTAAAAGGTAAAAAAATTCACCAACCGCTTTGCATTTAAATTGGTTGTTATTAATAAGTGGTGTAACGTCGTGACACTAGTGGCTTTGGAGTACCTACGGTGCTCCGTTCGTAAAATTGATAGTTCCTATATTTAATACTCCCTCCGTCCCGTAAAACACGGGACTTATTGACTAAAACTAAAATTTAAGGGAGTGTATTTGTCCCTTTGACCTTCCAAAAATGCCCCCAAACCCTTAAATAAAATTTAAGGGAGTTAAAAGATGTCCTTTTTCAGCTTCTTCCTCACCTTCTTCTCACCATGCCCATAAATATCCCTTTTGTTCTTCGTTGTGCTGTACGTATCAATGGTCTCCCNTTAATACTCCCTCCGTCCCGTAAAACACGGGACTTATTGACTAAAACTAAAATTTAAGGGAGTGTATTTGTCCCTTTGACCTTCCAAAAATGCCCCCAAACCCTTAAATAAAATTTAAGGGAGTTAAAAGATGTCCTTTTTCAGCTTCTTCCTCACCTTCTTCTCACCATGCCCATAAATATCCCTTTTGTTCTTCGTTGTGCTGTACGTATCAATGGTCTCCCCGCCATCATCATCGTCTTTGTCAACCGCATCTTCATTCTCTTCCTTTTCTTCAAATTCATGCAGTACGAACATGCCACCTTTAGTCCAGGTTCCCCACCTCAGTCTTGACACCCCTGCAGCAGAAGAAGAAACGAGTAGTTTGGGAAAAAAAGGTTGTGAAAAACGTAATCGTAAACGTAAACGAGTCGTTGACAAGCTACTTCAATTTTGTAAAAATGGCAAACTTCAGCGGGGCTGCATGAAAGAGGTTGCTGCAGAATTCAGCATCTCATCCAAAACAGTTGGAAAGATATGGAGTATAGCTAAGACTCAAATGCAGGGAGGTCTACCTGTGGATGTTCAGTGCAAGTGGATAGGGAATTCTGGAAAGAAAGGGGTGACTGTTGACACGCAAAAAATGTTAGCAATACCCTTTCACAGAAGGAAGAACATGCGTGCCTTAGCCTATGCAATGGATGTTTCAAAATCAACAGTCCAAAGGTGGCTAAAGGGCAAGGCCATAAGAAGACATTCTAATGCCATAAAGCCTTTTCTGTGTGAAAAAGGTAAGCTCAAGAGACTTAAATACTACTTGGATCATATTACTGCCCCATCAATTCCCATAAACCCCACATTTCATCATTTCTATGACTACATTCATATTGATGAAAAATGGTTTAACATCACAAAGGAAAAGACAACATTTTATGCACTACCAGAAGAACCAGACCCATACAGAACTGCTCAATCAAAGGCTCACATACCAAAAATCATGTTCCTAGCAGCGGTTGGTAGGCCTAGGTTTGGGAATGATGGGGATGTCCTCTGGGATGGGAAAATAGGTATATTCCCATTCACATATGAAGCTGAGGCCAAAAGGTGTAACACCCGCCTTCCGTGGACCCGATTCACCCGCGACCTAACGGACCGGTAGGGTTACATGGGCGGTCCGAGAACCGTCCGTAGAGAAAAGAACATTAATGTCCATTTATTTTGAAAACGGTTATGATTAATTGGTAAAATAAATGCTAGGGAGTTACCCCCAAAACGTGTGTGATATAAATGCAGAGTAAAAGCGGAAGTAATTAAATAAGTCCAAAATAGGTAAAACGACATTTGATGGGTTCATGCCCAAATGATTGTTTAATTCAAATGATTATAATTATTAAACTCGTCCGTGCGCCGCCCATCTTCCCATCATCACTGTCCTCCAGGGTTGGCACCTGTACCGTCATGTCTACCTACGTGTAGCAAAAACTGTAAGTTCGTGGGGGCGCATCGGAAATCACCAATTAAGAACTATGCAAACAAATCAACCAACTGTGCTGCAGAGAAGACGCTGCAGCTCTGTCCAGTAACAGATGACGGACAGTCTGCTATAGCACTTCTCTGTCACAAGCACACACAGAAGCAGATGACGCAGAGAGCGTTACAGCGCCTACTGGGCAGAATGCTGTAACTGTAAAAAGCGTAAAAAATGACACCAGATATGTTTACGCAGTTCGGAGAAACTCTCCTAATCTGCGGGGCCCACGTCCGTGTAATAGCCCTCCACTAAATCACTAGATGCAAGTTACACCGGTACATAACAACATGATGAGACACCCTTCTCCGAATTGCTATGACAAAACTTCTAATCTAGGATTTCTAACCCGAACTCTGTTCAGATCCACTTCGGCTATCACATCTCCACCGAGATCACGAAGACAAACGTGTTGGCAGCCCTCTCCTTAAGCTCTGGTTCATCTTCTGGACATCACGATCTGTTTGGCGTTGAAGATCTCCTCCTTCATGTAGATCGTAACTTTCTTCACGCAAGAGAAGCTCCGAGACGCGACGGGAATGCTCTACATCAGCGTATATTCTTTGTTTTCCCTCTCAATCGCTCCAAGTTATTCCCAGGGACCTGCTGCGTTTTTATAGACATCTCTTAACACAATCCTAGTAAGAATAGGATAGTAGAAGTTCGCTTGAACTCTACTTCCTTAATCTTGATCCACAAGTAGCCTAAAGAGTTGGGATTCCATAGCATGTACAGCTGGAGTTATTATCATGTAATCACAATCCCAATAGGTCTCTAATTCAGATTGCAGCTTAAAATCTTGTGCTCAGACCTCTGATCCCGAACAGTGTGTTGCAGCATCGTGCTGTAGCATCTTCTGTGTCAACCTCGAAAACTGCAGCAACTCTAGAAGTCTAAATAAAATAAACCTCTCCTAACAAATAGAGGTTTCTACCTAGTAAAACATCTAACAAATATGGATTCTATTTTGCCAAAATATTAGCCAACACCCTGGAACCAACAAAAACAACTACACGCTCAGCAAAAGCTGAGGAGTGAATCTAACAAAAGAACATGAAGTGATAACTCATTTGATTATACACATATTAATACCTGTACTTTAACATACGGAAAATCACATGTTTACTAACTGATTAATTTGCACTTGATGGCATATTATTACACATAACGAAATGAATAACAACCACATTGAATGTTGATGTGACGTGGAACATACATGATGACGATGGCCACATTAAATGTTGACATGACATGGAACCCACATGATGACGATATGACTTGATGCATGACTTAAACTATCAGGGACACCCCTGGCTTAGTCTCACTTGACAGGATCACAGCTAGGGATCTCCCAAAGGTTCCTAGACGGGCCCACTGTAGTAGACGCACGAAAACCTGACCTCCCTACAGGTGTATGCACATGATGATAAACCTAGGACACGCGTCTAGAATGAACATGATGAATGCTTGATATATTTACCTTTGGTCAACGCCAAGAATATATCAATTAAATAACATAATAATGAAGATTAACATTTCATACAAACATACAATCAGATTTTGAGTCAATATGATCAACGAGGCTCGTTCTACAAACTGTCCGAAAAAATGCCTGGGAAACGGTCGACCGTACCCTACCGGCGGTCGACCGTGAGCTACGTTATGGAGTTCTGGAAAGCCGATGGTCCACCCCGGTCTGCCGTCGCGGTCGGCGGTCGACCGTTACGGTGGTGGCCGACGGACGGTCAAGGGAAACGGTCCACCGTCCTTAGCGGCGGTCGACCGTCCCGTAGACAGTCCACTGACTTTGGCTTCGTTTTGATCCGTTTTGTGATCTTAACGCCTTGATTCTTTTTAGAACAATAATGTAAACATTTTTGAAAAATATTCCTAGTGATTCCTAGGCCAATATATACGATTTTTACGTAGTGAACGTTTTGATGGCTAACCTACGAACATGCATAGATTCTACGTAGGTTGCGTACGATATTCCTATGAATATAACAACATAGATTATAACTTGATGTTCTAGAATTAGAGGGGACAACTACTCACCTCTAGTTGAAGGATTTGACGGAATGATAGGATGAGATGAACGAATGGATGACGATGAATAAACAAACAAATGAACAAACTTTTTGCGTGAACCTTCTTCTTCTACCTCCCCGTCTACTCGCCAGAATCCTCCTTGGGTTCGCTTGTTGCCTTGGCCGAATGCAAGGAAGGAAGGGGGGAGAGGTGAGGATTTGATGAGAGTAAGGGATGGGGGTTACAAATGATGAAGAATATGAATGGGAGAGGGGGTTTTAATAATGGAGATTAAATGGGTGAATAATGGTGGATTAATTGGGAATGAATGGGGTGGTTATGGGAAATGAAAGGGTGTGTGGCGTGTGGTTCATAATTTGGGGAGTTACCTCCCTAAATTTCACTCTGTTGTGTAGAATCTGATCTGAACGGTACGCGGTTTTCCCCCCAAATGGGTCCGAATTGAGATCCGTTTGTGTTTCCGGAATCAGACAGTCAAAACGAATTTAATGACATGTTCAAATAATTTTTCCAGTAACTTTATTTTCAAACTTCCGCATCCAGCCCAATCATTAATTAGTTCTTTTAATTAATGTTGAGAGGTCTGTTATTAAAACATCTTTTTATATTTAAAAAAAACACATTAACTTTTGAAGTCCATCTAATGAGATCAAAATCTCAATATTTATTTAAATAATGAGTCTCAATAAATAATATTTATTTATTCAAAATTAGGCCGGTTTGAGGGCGTTACAAAAGGTCTAGCAAAAACAGGCAGCAGGTACATTAGAGGTCAAGGTAACCACCACTATAAACAGAGATGAAATGAAAAAGATGCTACTGGAAAAGTTACTGCCAACAATAAAAGAAAAATGGCCTGGTCCAACAAGAGATGTAATAGTACAGCAAGATAATGCTAAACCACATGTGGATCTGAATGACCCAGAGTTTGTACAAGCTGCACAGGAGGGTGACTGGAACATTAAGCTTCAATTCCAGCCTCCTAATAGCCCAGACCTTAATGTTTTGGATTTGGGATATTTTAGGCCAATTGATACAATTCAAGACCAGGCAGCACCTAGGAAACTAGAAGACCTCATCACTGCTGTTACCACATCCTTTACAGCCCTCACCCCTGAGAAGTTAAACAATGTTTTTTTGACATGTCAAAGTGTAATGGGGGGGGGTGCTTAAACAGAAAGGGGGCAATAACTTCAAAATCCCACACATGGGGAAAAGTAGTTTGGCCAGACTTGGAAGGCTACCAGATAATGTTGGGGTAAGCCAAGAGGTCTATCAGGAAGCAAAAACATTCCTTGAAGAACACATGTAAACTACCAAGTCTTGGAAGTCTTACTTTTTTGTATGTACAAACATCATGGGTAAAAGTACAATACTTTAATGTACTCCCATGTAATGACTTTTTTGCACATATTTTGTATGGCATGTAATCAGTGTAGTATGAAAATCTGGCATACAGATTGGTCATAGAACATGATGTGTATGTACTACCAACTGCTGTTGACTAACTTTTGTCATGTAATCAGTCTGTTCTGTTTTTACTAAGAAAAAGTGTAGCATCTGTTTTCTTATGCTAAGAAGAAGTATAGCATCTGTTTTCTTATGCAGCAGAAGAAGTATAGCATCTGTTTTCTTATGCAGCAAAAGAAGTATAGCATCTGTTTTCTTATGCTAAGAAGCAGTGTGGCATCTGTTTTATAAAGAAAATCCTTATAGAATCTGTTTTTTTACTGATTTTTTCTGGAAAATTTTAACAGAGGCATCAGACATAAACACATGAACACAGGTAGACCAATCCTAGGCAAAATTGATTTTTGTAAGTCTCCAACACAGTACGTGGGTGACATTACAACACTAGCAACTCACATATGAACACATCTTATTCGTGTAAAGCAGAGATTTGCATCATTAGTTTGCCAAAATATACTCACACGCAGGTCTAAATTAAAGAGAGTATAGAGCGTGTACTCTGTTTGAATCGATGTAATTTTTCAGGGTCTCCTGTAGGTTCTGCAAAGAGGAATTCCTCCTCAGACATCTCCATTATCTCCGCAGAGGTCACCGATTCCCCATCTTCCTCTTCATCCTCTTCTTCTTCGTAACTCCGTTCAGGGTCAGAATAGTAACCACCCCCTGGATATTTTTTGCGGAAGCTCCAAGTTGGGTGTGTTTCAGAGGAATCCGTATCTCCTCCATCAAATCCCCAACGATTTAACTCTGCCCTCTTCATCTCAGCCTTCGATGGAGGAGGGGATCCATATCTAGGAAGTGCATCATCATCACTATCACTCAAAAGCTGAAAACTGGGCATCGAAGGATCGCGGGATAACATCGGATCAGGGCTGAGTAGAAGATCTGAAGTTCAGGACCTTTAGATCTATTCTTCGAGAGAGAAATTAGATTTAGATCTACATAAGATGAAGAGAAGAACTTAGATCTAGAGAGGAGGAAGAGGAAAACTCAGATCTAGAGAGAGACGAAGAAGGTGTGGGAATCGGTGATGTGATTCCTGTGGAGTGTCAGTATTGAATGGGTAGGGTTTTGGTGGAGGGGCAAATAAGTCTTTTTCAAGGAAATAGGAAGAGTTTTAAGGGACGGATAAAAAAAGAAAGAGGAAGTGTTTTACGGGACGGAGGGAGTATTATATAAGAAAATATTACTCCCTCCGTCCCCCATAGATCTTCCCAATAGTCCTTTTTCTTTGTCCACAATAGATCTTCCCATTTCATTTTTTAACAATTAAAATACCACAACTATCCTCACTTACTTTATTTATTACACCTCACCCACCTCATTTAATACACTACATCCATTTTCATTAAGGGTATTATGGTAAACCCGGTTTTTGCGCAATCATGGCATCTCTTCGTCTCCGTCTGCACATAATACTATGGCATCATCCAACGCTGCCCCACAATGGTTGTTTGACAGCGGTGCTAGTCATCATACCACGCCTACTACTCAATCACTCCAATCGTTCTCTGACTACGGGGGCCCCGACGAAATTCGCTTGGGTAATGGTAATGGTCTCAAAATTACTCATACTGGTCATACCTCTATTTCCACTCCCTCTAGGTCGCTTTCCTTATCTAATGTGTTGTGTGTTCCTTCTCTTAACCGTAATCTTGTTTCTGTCTCTCAACTTTGTCAGTCTAACCAAGTTTCTGTTGAATTTTTCCCCTCTTCCTTTCTTGTCAAGGATCTGAAAACGGGGGCGAAGCTCCTCACCGGGGATAATCAACATGGTGTCTACTATGCTCGATCCCGTCCGCCCGGGCCACAAGTGTACTTTCATACTCAAGGCTCTGTCTCCGAGTTTCATCACCGACTTGGTCATCCGTCGAATAAAGTTTTACTTTCCATGCTACGGTGTTGTAATAAATCCTTCTCTCCGGAGAATATTCAAAAATTTCATTGTACTTCTTGTTCCCTTGCCAAAAGCCATAAACTTCCATTTTATGCCAATTCATTTACTAGTGCACGACCTCTTGAGTTATTGTATTCAGATGTCTGGTCTTGCAAAGAAAAAACCATTGATGGCTATTTATACTATGTTATCTTTGTGGATCACTTCACCAAATATGTTTGGCTCTATCCTCTCTCGCGTAAATCTGATGTTTTTAAAATTTTTCCTCATTTTAAAACTATTGTGGAAAATTTTTTCAAGCAGAAGATTGTGTCAATTTTTTCCGACAATGGTGGTGAATTTCTCAAACTGAGACCTATGCTCAACACGTTTGGTATCTCACATTTCACCACACCACCTCATACACCGGAGCATAATGGTACGTCTGAGCGACGCCATCGTCACATTGTTGAGACTGGTCTCTCTTTGTTGCATCATGCTCACATGCCTCTCCAGTATTGGTCCTATGCTTTCCAAACCGCAGTCTATCTCATAAATCGCATGCCTACCCCCACTCTCAAATCTCGCTGCCCTTATCGACTCTTATTTGGGGCCGATCCGAACTACCTTAAATTCCAACCATTTGGATGTTTGTGCTATCCGTGGCTTCGGCCCTATGCTCACCACAAACTTCAATCTCGTTCTATTCCCTGTGTTTTCGTCGGCTACTCCACTAATCAATCGGCCTACAAGTGTCTTGACCTTTCTACCAATCGTCTCTATCTCTCCCGGCATGTCCAATTTGTACCACACATCTACCCTCACTCCACCATCTCTTCCCCATCTCCTAATACCCCAACCCCTTGCCCATATCCTATTTCACCTCCCCCATTTGCTAAAACTATTGCGCCAGATCCCTCCCCTGCCATGCCATTCCCAGCATCTTCCTCTGCCTTACCTGCGAATCTGCCCAGCCCATCCAGTGGTCACTCTGCAGCCAGCGTCCCTGGGGGTGTTCCGTCTTCTACCCTTGTCCCTCTACCAGCCCGTCCTGTTTCTCGTCCCACCCGCCAACGTCGCCCAAACAGCAAATATTTCAATTCTGATTTTGTGTCTGTTCCGCCATGCACCAACACCACCACCAAACACCCTCTCCTTCTTACTCTTGAACCCAAAACCATTACTCAGGCTCTCGTTGGCGACAAGCGATGGACGATGAGTATCAGGCTTTGCTTCGCAATAAGACGTGGGAACTTGTACCGCGGCCGGCTCAGCGCCCGGTAGGGTGCAAATGGATTTTTCGGGTCAAACGGAAGGCGGATGGTTCAATTGACCGCTACAAGGCTCGGCTTGTGGCCAAAGGCTACCTTCAAGAGGCGGGACGTGATTATTTTGAGACTTTTAGTCCGGTGATGAAGCCGGTCACCATTCGCCTTGTGCTTAGCATTGCGCTAGCTCACAATTGGCCTCTCCGGCAACTTGATGTAAATAACGCTTTTTTGCATGGCAGGTTAAAAGAACAGGTGTTCATGGACCAGCCTCCTAGCTACGTGCATCCCGAATTTCCCACCCATGTTTGTCGACTGTCTAAGGCTTTGTACGGTCTCAAACAGGCCCCTCGGGCTTGGTATGATGCACTCTCTCGGTTTCTCTTGACTTCGGGGTTTGTGAAGGCACGGTCTGATTCCTCGCTTTTTATTTATCATGCGGGCGGTGTGACAGCATATTTTTTGGTATACGTGGATGACATCATTCTTACCGGCAGCTCTACTCTCTTCTTGGATCGGTTTGTTCATGCCCTCGCTGCCGAATTCTCCCTGAAGGATCTCGGTCCCTTAAATCACTTCTTGGGCGTCGAGGTTATCTCCACTAAAGCTGGTCTCTTCTTATCTCAATCGCAATACATCCTGGATATTCTGGACGATGCCTCTATGACTGGTGCTAAAGAGGTCGCTACTCCTATGGCAGCAGATCCTTGTTTTGCTCCTGAGTCAACATCTACGACTGTTGATTCTACCGCTTATCGGCGTACCATTGGGCGACTACAATATCTTTCCTTGACCCGTCCGGATGTCTCGTTTGTTGTGAACAAATTGGCCCAGGTCATGCATGCCCCTACGGATCACCATTGGTTGGCTCTGAAGCGTGTTCTTCGATATCTTAAGGGTACCGTGTGTCACGGTTTGTTTTTGTCTCGACAGGTTCCGTTGTCTCTCACGGCTTTCTCCGATGCTGATTGGGGAGGTATCACTGACGGAGGACGGTCAACCACTGCGTATGTGCTCTATATTGGGCCGAATATTCTCTCTTGGAAGTCCATTCGCCAGAAGAGCGTGTCTCGCTCTTCCACGGAAGCGGAATACCGTGCTTTAGCTAATGCGGCGGCTGAACTCCAGTGGGTTCAGAATCTTCTTTATGAGCTTCGTATCTCTCTTAAGGAGACTCCTCAGCTCTACTGTGATAACATGAGTGCTCTTCATTTTTGTAAAAACCCGGTCTTCCATTCCCGGATGAAGCATATTGCTCTCGACTATTTTTTCGTTCGTGACTTGATTGCCGCTGCCAAGTTAAGGGTGACTCATGTGCGCTCTACTGATCAATTGGCCGACATTCTCACCAAGCCATTACCTCGTGTCTTGTTTACGAAATTTCGTTCCAAGATTGGCGTATCCGACGGATCCTTAATCTTGCGGGGGCGTGTAAAGGATAATCTCTAACTATTATTATTATTGGTATTATTATAGTAGTAGTCTCCTCTTGGGTTTCTACCTCTACGCATAGTCCGCATAGTCCTGTAACCATCCTGGTAAATAGCCTTAGGAATAGCTCCTGCTAACCGTGTGTTCATATGTGTATATATACTCTGCATGTAAACATATAATGTATCAAATCATTTATTCATTAATATCTTATATCTTAGGGGGACGGAGGGAGTAACTTATAATATCAAGACATGTATAATGACAATTGTCAAATTGAGGGCGTAGCTAGCTCTAGGTCAATTTAAGATTTCAAACTTTGATTTATACCACAACTTTTAAATGAAGTAAGTTAAATAATTATTCCCCCCTTATTAGCGGCTTCTTCTCATGCAAGACTGTCGTTGCATGGCAGCAAATCAAGCAAGTGATCGATTAAAAAAAAAAGTAGTTACTCGAACGATCAGTGTATACATTGTAAAGGAATGGAATAAAAGGAAAAGGGTTAAGTTGTTCAAAGGCAAGAAGAAACCAGATCCATCCATCTTTAATCCAAGTTCCACAGTCATCCATTATTTTGGTTGGAGAAAAAATAATGAGAAAAAAATAGAGATTAAAAAACACATACTCCTTCCGTCCCAGAGTATTTGTCTACTTTCATTTTTACACACCATCCAATGCACTTCTTTAATCCATTTTATCTTGTAATTTGTATATTAAAAAATTATAGAAATTATATATTAATAATCTATATGTTAAGACAAATCAAACAAGATCACACATTACTATATTTAGGCTTACACATTGAGAGAATTT